AAAACAAAACCAGTCTTTTTTTTTTCCTCAAGTACGCATTGGGCAGCTGTATATAGGAGGTAGCACAGGCCTACATTCTAGAACCCATGTAAGAAACCACATCTGGGAGCATGAGCACCTGTAATCCAGAGGTTAAGAGATGGAGCCAGGAGGATCTCAAAAGTGACCTGGCCAAGCAGCCTATCAGTAGGTTTAGTGAGAGTTCTTGTTTTGAAAAACTAAGTTGGAGAGAGCTAGAGAGATGGCACAGTGCTTACGAGCAGGTAGTCCTCTTGCGGAGGACCTGGGTTCAGTTCCCAGCACCCAGGTTGGTGGTTCCCAACCACCTGTAGCTCCAGCTCCAGGGAATCCAATGCCCTCTGGCTTCCACAGGCACCCACACAAGACACATAACTTAAAATAATAAAAATAAATCTTTAAAAGGTGTAGAGTGAAGGAAGACATTAGAAATCAACCTCTAGCCTCTATATGTATGAACACACATGGACACACACACAAAGCATGATTGTAGTTACCTGCGCTTGGATTGGAAGCATCACCTCAGCTCCCTGGTACCCCTTTATACAAAGAGTCTGGAATATTTAGTTGGAAGCTTCTCCCCAGCCCAGTTGCATCCATTTTTGAAATGTTGGGTGGGGTTGGAGAGATGGCTCAGCAGTTAAGAGCATTGCCTGCTCTTCCAGAGGTCGAGTTCAATTCCCAGCAACCACATGGTGGCTCACAACCATCTGTGATAAGGTCTGGTGCCCTCTTCAGGCCTGCACGCATACACACAGACAGAATATTGTATACATAATAAATAAATATTTTTTTAAAAAAAAAATAAATGTTGGGTGGAAAATTCCATTTCAAGCTCCCTCCCCGGGAAGTTGCCTCAGTCCAAAATCCACCTCCAAGAAAGCCCGCCAAACAGTAACCCCTCCCCAGGGAAGGGTCAAGACCACTCCCACAGGCTATTTAAACTGCCCCCCCCCCAGAGAATAAACACGTGTCTTTCCTTTTCTCTCTCTGGTGGTCGTTCGGGTTCTCCTCCCCAACTCCGTGCTTTTCCAGGGGCCACCCAGGAGCCCTAGCACCCATTAAAGCTGGGCATCTTCTAATTCAATCTGATTTGGTCTGATTGGAATTACTGTGTTGGCGGAGAGGTTTGTCAGTCAGAAAAATACTTAACAAACACAAATGGGTGTGAGTGCCATGATGTGCAAGTGGAGGTCAGAGGACCATCTGTGTGTCATTCCTCACTATCCTGCTTGTTGGGGCAGGATCTCATCATTCACAGCTGTGATGCTGTAATGAGCATGGAAGCAGATTCCTCTGAATGAAAAAAAAGGGGAATCTGTAGTGTAGATAGAGCAGGAAATTTATAGAATAAGAATGAATGTAACTTGGTGTAATGTAAAAGCATTTCTTCTTGTATGTGGTGTGGAAAATTACTAAGGTGAAATATTAAGAGAACATTTGCCCGCTTGAAGGCTGCCACACCCATCTGGCCCTGCCAGATATGGGGAGGCTGCACCCAGAAACCGTGGTAACGAAATAATCTTGCCACACAAGAGGGACCCCCACCCTTCTGTGGCCAGTTGATACTGATAACCTAGGACATCTGGTTATCGGAAGGATCAAACGAGGGGCAATTTCAAACTGACTTAAAAGAGGACGGTTATCTCACTTCTCACAATAGCTCTGGCACCAGGCCTCTGTGGAAAGAGAGATCCTCCTAGCCTGCCTCCCGAAAAGCAGAAATATTAAACGCCTTGCCTAAACATTTAATGCTCTGTCTCCCAAGTACAGAGCTTCGTCTCCCGAAAACAGACATTTAACGCCTTGCATCCCGAATGCAAATCCTCATTCCCTGAGAGTGGACATTGAAGGTCTGTCTCCCGAGAACAGACTAGATACTCTGCCTTTCAGGATGCTTTGCCATCCCGAGAACAAAGCTTTGTCTTCTGAGCAGACAGAACTCTTTGCCATCCTGAGAACAAAGCCTCGTCTTCGAGAGTAGAGAACTAAAGCCTTGTCTCCTGAGACTCGGTCACCCGAAAGCCGAGTCCAAGGCCCTACCAGATACCAGCCTGGAACATCAGGACCTTATCTCCTGCGTGCAGACTATGGGGTCAAGAGTCGATCTTGGCTACCCAGCCCCCAGTGCGGACAAGAGCCCAGCCTGAAGAAATTCAAAAAGTCCTTTTTAAGCCAGGGAATACCAGGTCGTACGATGCTATTTCATGTGTGTATGAGAGGTTAAGAGAAAAACATAGAGGTGTTAATACATAAGTTTAGTATGTGAAATGTTAAGAGATATTTTATGGATATTGATAAGATTAGGAAATGTTAATGGATAAGTTAAGGTTAAGAAGTGTTTTATAGATAAGTAATGGATAAGTTGTATTAAGGTTAAGAAGTGTTTTATGAATAAGTGATAAGTTAGATTAAGGTTATGAATTGGTTTTATGCATTAGGTTTAGTAGGATTAATAATTGTGATATTGAAATGCCTGTGTGTTGCCCATTATCAATCCCCCATGCCTATTGAGATTGTAACCCTTATTGATGCATTGGATATTGAAGTTGCTAGTAAAGAATCATTATAAAAACAATTCTCTTGCTTGGTTTGGTTACTCATCACTCTCTGGGGAGAAGGGCACAGAGTCCTCATAGATATTACTAGAAAAGAACCTGGAGCTGAAGTCCCCCAGCTCATAACAGATGCTGAGCTAGCTTGCCTGGGAGTTTCCAGGAACTCTCATGTCTCCCTCTCCCATCTCAGTAGTACCCCGGGATCACAGAAGGCACTACCTCATTTGACTTTTGTTTTGTTTTGTTTGTTTTTTGAGACAGGGTTTCTCAGTAGCTTTGCGGCCTGTCCTGGAACTCTTCTGTAGACCAGACTGTCCTTGAACTCACAGAGTTCCACCTGCTTCTGGCTCCCGAGTGTGAGGATTAAAAGCATGTGCCACCACTGACTGTCCAGCTCTCATTTGGCTTTTACATAGGTCCTGAGAAGCCAAGCCAAGCTCAGGTCTTCAGGCTTTAATAACCAGTACTTTGTCACCTCTGAGCCGTCTTCCTAGCCCAACTGACCAGTTTCCTAGACATATAGAACCTTACTCCAGGACTCAGTCCCTCACTGGTTTACTCAGAGAGCAGAACCCTTAGATTAGAGAGGGGACATCTTGAACATTGTTATAATTAATTGTCCATAGAACCTTACTCCAGGATTGAGTCCCTAGCTGGTTTACTCAGAGAGCAGAACCCTTAGATTAGAGAGGGGACATCTTGAACATTGTTATAATTGTCCAGTAATTACTGATGGTGACCCTCCTACATGAGACCCTGAGTCTAATAAATTAAATAAGGAAATGAACCAGGTTTGGTGACACAGGTTTGTCATCTCAGCTACTTAGAAGGTTGTGGCTTACTAATGCTCTGTTTCATTAAAATAATATATCTGGATGTATTGGCACACACCTTTAATTCTAGCACTTGGGAGAGAGAGAGATGTCTGTCTGTTTGTAAGTAGATGTCTGTGAGTTCCAAGCCAGTCGGGGCTACAAAAGGAGACCCTGTATCAAACATAAACAAGCAAAACTAAAATACAGAGACGACACCAGTGCAGGGTTCAGGATATAAAGGCACTTGTCACCAAGTCTGACAGCCCGAGCTTGATCTCTGAGACCCATATGTTGGAAGTAAAGAACTGACTCCCTCAAGCTGTTCTCTGACATCCACATACTCAGAGTGGCATGCATATGCCCACATGCAAACACACATGGATAAATAAATGTAATAAAAATGTGGTAAATGAAAGAAAGAGTTAGGGTGCAGTCCAGTGTTAGAGCGCTTGCCTAGTATGTATGACAGCCTGGGTTTCCTTCCCAGTACTGTGAGATGGGAAGACTGAGATGAAAGGAACTCCTAGTCTGGTTACTTTGAGATCCTCTCACATGTCACTAATGTCATGAATGCCTTGAGGTGAGAGTGGCTGTGGGAACTACAGTGAAGATCCAGAACTACAAAGCCCTCAGAAACAAATCTGGGCTTCGTTCTCATTCCTCTCCAGAGAACACTGTGGAGACATGCCTTTGGCCACGTGTTACTCAGACTGACATGCACACGACTTAGGACTCGGTGACCTTTGATGTGGCTGTGAACTTCACCCAAAAGGAGTGGGTTATAATGGATCGAACTCAGAGAGACCTCTACAGAGAGGTGATGCTGGAGAACTACCAGAACCTGTTCTCAGCAGGTAAGACTGCCATTGTCCCTCCTGGCCTCTTGGGAGAGAGCAGTGCTATGTAGCACCTGTATTTCACCATCACTGAAGTCTGTTCTGAGTCTCATGAAAAATAACAGAAGCCTTGTCCCAGCGTTGAAGAATTGTAATCTGCACTGTGGTTGTTCTTAAAACATGATCCAACAGAACCAGCAAGGTGGTTCAGAAGGTAAAGGCACTTGCAGACAAGTCTGAAGAGTTGATTTCAATCCCTGGGACCCACACAATGGAAAGAGAGAACTGAGTCTTGCAAACTGTCCTTCGCCCTCCACACATGATGGAGCACATTTGTACAAACATGCAGACACAGTCTAAATAAACAAATAAATCTAATGAAAGATTCTTAATGTGGCCCAAGTGCACCTGTCACCCCAGCACTTTTGAGGTGGAGGCAAGAGGATCCGGAGTTCAAAGGCAACCTCAGCTACATAGTGCTTCCGAGGCCAGCCTAAGATACATAAGGTGCTGGAGGGAGAGGGGTGGGGTAGAAAGAGATGGGGAGAAGGTGGGCAGAAGATAGTCTTGCTTTAATTCAGTTTCCTAAGTGAGAGTGTTAGTTATAATTGGGTATATAATCATTGATTTGGGCTTCAGGGTTCAGAGATAGTCTTTTGCAGACAGAGAAAGGTCATTTTCAGCTGTCTTAGTCAAAGTTTTATTGTTGTGAAGAGACACTATGGCCACAGCAACTCTTATAAATGAAAGCATTTATTGGGTCTGTCTCACAGCTCAGAGATTTCGTTATTTTCATCATGGTAGGAAACATGGCAGTGTACAGGCAGTCATGTTGATGGAGAAGGAGCCGAGAGTTCTACATCCAGATCTGCAGGCATCAAGAAGAGAGAGACACTGGGCCTGGCCTGAGCATCAGAAATCTCAAAGCCCACCCCCAGTGACACACTTCCCCAACAAAGCCACACTTCCTCCAATAAGGCCACCCCTCCTAATAATGCCACTCCCAAGGAGCCTTTGGGGACCATTTTCTTTCAAAATACATCAGCCTTTCTTAAATAATTTCATGGGTGTAATGAGAAGGAACATTCCTGGATTATCTGGAGGTGCCTGGTGCTTCCACGAGTCCATTCTGTTGTACATCATTCCCTGTATACAGGTTGTTTACTGCTCAAACCCAACCTGATCTCTCCGTTAGAAGATGTGGGAACACTACAGGGAGAGGACTGCCAAGGTGAGTATGAAAGAAACTGTTGAGGATGCTGTTGATCCTAAAAGAATGAACTTGTTTATCTGGGAAAATAGGGTATCTTCAGCTTTTCATCCTCATTCACCTTTTGTCCACAAAAACTTTTCTTTCTTTCAAGACAGCTCTCGCTGAATTGTTGGGGAATGTTATTTTTAGGTGTGTGACTTTTGTTTAACTCTTTGAAGCTGTGTTATTGTGCCTAACACACCGGATGGTCCTAATAAAGAGGTGATAGTGAGGTAGGAGCAAAGATGGGGGGTGGCTAACAGGCAGAGAATATAAATATGAGAAATCTGAGAGGAGAGATGAAAGAGGAGCAATGAGAGACCAAGGGAGGAGATCAGGGGCCAGCCACCAGCTACACAGCAAGCCACAGAGAACGAAGCAAAGGAAGGTACACAGAAATAAAGAAAGGTAAAAGCCTAGAAGCAAAAGAGAGTTGGGACAATTTAAGTTAAGAAAAGCTGGCAAGAAGCAAGCCAAGCTAAGACTGGGCATTCATAACTAAGAATACGCCTCTGTGTGTGATTTATTTGGGAGCTGGGTGGTTGGCCCCCTAAAAAGCCAAAAGAGGAAAAAAAAAATCTTACAACACTAAATAGCTCAGACTGGCCAGGAACTCTCTTATGTAGACTAGGCAGGCTTCTAACTCCAAAAAAATCTGTCTGCCTCTGACTCCCAAATGCTGGAATTAAATGGGGTGTACCATGATGCCTCCCAGCTTCTCTCCTTCCTCCTTCTTCTTCTTTGTTTTGTATTTTTTGTTTTGTTTTTTGAGATGGGGTTTCTCTATGTATTCCTGGCTTTCTTGGAACTCGATTTGTAGACAGGCTGATCTCGAACTCACAGAAATCCTCCTCTCTCTGCCTCCCAAATGCTGAGATTAAAGGTGTGCACCACCACAGTCCAGGCTTCTTCTTCTTCTTCTTTTTTTTAAGATTTATTTATTATGTACACAACGTTCCTCCTGCATGTACTCCTCCCTCCTGCATGTACTCCTCTATGCCAGAAGAGGGCACCAGAACTTCATTACAGATAGTTATGAGCCATCATGTGGTTGCTGGGAATTGAACTCAGGAAGAATAGCCAGTGTTCTTAACCACTGAGCCATCTCTCCAGTCCCCTCTTCTATCTCTTCTTGGGTGCCATCATTAGATGTATGTTCTTTGTACAGGTGTTTTGATACTTTCCAACCCTGATTACATTTATCTTGCTGCTGGGTGGTGTACCATAAGTGGTGTTGCCTAGTATTCACGAGGCTCTGGATTTCATCC